ATCGAAAGTCTCCCTAAGCCAAGTAATCCGGATGACGCCGCCACAAAGATCAGTAGGAGCCTGTCCAATCAGTCGAAGGCACATAGCCGACCAGTCCTCGTCTTGTATGTCTACTACGACGGCATCACCGTCGATCGCTAATCCGGTGAGTGTCGCTACGTCCTCTAGGGTGATCGTCACCTCACCGAACGACATGTGGAATGTCGATGTCTCGGGTCGCCAACGCTCTACGAGCGCAGTAATCAAACTCGGATCACCGGTAAGAGGGGCTAGTGGCAGAACACTAGACAAGCCGTCATCGACGAGATACGCCAGGTACAGTGGATTGTATCGAACTAAACTGCCTGTATGACGAATGTGGTAAGGTCGATCACCAACCTAATAATTAATGCACAAAACTATATTAATTCAATTCCTTCAATTCACCTAATATTTATATTTATATATATAAACTAAACTTATTCTAATATAATATACTAGTAACTTAATCTAATTCTATTCCTAATTTAATTTAATTCTATTCATAATTTAATTTAATTCTATTATTTTATATTATATTATTCAGCTAATAAAACTATAGAAGTTTGAAAAAAACTTACCTCATTTGTCCAAACTGCGTCAATCCGATGGTGACCATGCCCCCAAAGAAGTTCCGGATCCATCGGAGCATTATCGATTGTCGCAGGTGGTGGTCTCATCGAACAAGGATCGATAAGCCTAGGAACTGAAAAAAAAAATATATTAGAATATTAAAAAAAATTGTCGCCGAAAAAAAAAAGTCGCCGCCGGCAAGAAGGCTGACATTCACTCCTGTAGCGTTCGCCGCCGTCGCCGGCGCCGCTGTCACCACACCGCCCTCGGCCTCTTCCTCTGTCGCCAGGTGCCTGCTGCTCGTCGTCGGACATTCCTGCGCCGCCGCTGTAGATGGGTCGCCTTCGCCTAGTTCCTCGCGCCGCCGCCTGAGACTGAGGCTCTGCCTTCTTACTCTCGGCGTTGTCGCTCTAGTTTTGGCGTCGGTGCTGGGATGGAGGATGAAGGAGGTCGTGTGGTCTGGTGCGAGAGGGAAGGGAGGAAGGGGATAAAAAAACAAAAGTTGATAGGGACGGCGCCCGAGTCTCATGCTTTGGCGCTTTTTGAAATTTTTGATGCGAGAGGGAAGGGAGGAAGGGGATAAAAAAACAAAAGTTGATAGGGATGGCGCCCGATTCTCATGCTTTGGCGCTTTTTGAAATTTTTGAAATTTCAAACAGCGCCAAAGCCTGAGACTCGGGCGCTATCGCTAGCTTTACCCTTAAAAACTCAATTTTTTGAGTCTCGGGCGCCGTCACCAACTTCCCTCCATCAAAACACAATATTCTTGTAAATAATTTTTAAACGACTATATTCGTGGTAAATTAAAAAAAAAATAATATTTAAGGAATAGTTTTTAAACACAATATTCTTGACAAAAGACTACTTCTTGAATTGTAACTAGAGAAAAGAATGAGATACTATCACAACCCTTTCAAGGGTTTCACTACCCCCTTATAGCCATTGGATTCATTATCTTTACCCTTTTTCAAATTGATGCTGAGATTAGATAAGGGTATTATTGAGCAACAAAATATGAACACACATGATTTCTACTCCTATTAATTACATATTCTTCACCTCTCTCCCTAAAACCCTAGAAAAACTCTCTCCTCTCACCTTTTTCTCAACCCTTCTTCTTCCTCTCGTTTGTTCACCACCATCCCCAGTCCCCACCTCCACCCCACCACCTCCTCACATGCCTCTGTCGCCCCACCATCCCCACCTGCCATCATCGTCCACCACCATCCCACCACCACGATGCCCTCTTCCTCCCCCACCTCCTCTCTCCCTGTCGTCGCTTGCCACCACCACCATGAGGTTGCCGCCCGATAAAGCCTGCCACCATCACAAGCAACCATCACGCCCTCATCTCATTATGGTGACTCCACCACCATCTCGTCATCCTATCAGTGCAGCCACCTCCCCTCCGATGTTTTCATAAAAAACATGTATAATTATTAGGAATGACTTCATTAAAGCGATCCTCGGTTTCTTCATCTCAAGGAATTTACTAGATAGCATTAATGCCATTGTAGTCTCTTTTTTTACCAAAAACTCCCTCTGTTTGTGCATTGAAAGACTTCCGGGTCATATCATGCATTAATATCCTATATAAAATCATTGAAAAAGTACTTGCAAATATATTGAATGTAATGTTTTCTAAATTAATTAGTGTGAATCAATCTGCATTCATTGAGGGCAGAAGGACAATGGATAATATTCTCATGGTACAAGAACTAGTTAGTGGATACCATAGGGAAAACATTTTATCTCAATGTTCTGTAACGGTTGATCTTATGAAGGCTTTCGATTCTTTTAATTGGAACTATCTGTTTATGATGATGGAGTTAATGTGATTTTCTATGTGCTTTATGAACTGGATCAAACTGTGTGTGAAGACAACAAGGTTCAGTGTTAGTGTGAATGGTGGCCTTTGTGGGTATTTTGGGTCTCAATGAGTGGTAAGGCAGGGTGATCCTTTATCATTCTCACTGTTGCTATAGAAGGATAATCTTTATTGTTGAATGCATCTGCAAAGAAGCAAGAGAATTGCCATTCTGTCCCAAAGGTGAACCAGTGGCTTTGACCCATTTAAGTTTTGTTGATGACTTTCTTATTTTCACTTAAGGATCGACTAGGGCTATTACTAAAGTACAACAAGTTTTGTTTGTTTTTTCACGTGCATCTGCCTCAAGTGCAACCCATAAAATGCGAGGTTTACTTTGTTGGTTCTTCTTTTCTATACAAGAACAATGTAATTACACTATCAAGATTCTAGGAGGGAGCTATGCATTGAGGTATTTGGGCTTTCACCTAATCACATGCAAACTATCTTCTGTAGATTGTGAGAAGCTGCTAGCCAAAATAACCAAAAAAATTAAGTCTTGGTGGGCCAAATAACTCATTTATGCGGACTGTCTTCAACTGATCACTTAAGTTCTAATGGGGGTGCTGGAGTTCTGGGGGTAAGTCTTTCTGTTACCCAAGAAATTTCTCAAACAGGTCTATAAGCTCTGCTCTCAATTCTTATGACATGGACATGATGAGGGTAAAGCTAAGATTGGTTGGGAGAGAATGACACATTTTCCAGAAAAAGGGGGATTGTGAATTAAAGAGCTGACTTAGGTTCTACTAATGAAGAGTGGGACTACTTGGGTCACCTAGATGTGGAAATACAGAGTTAAAACAAGTAGAGTCTGGAATGTGACGGCCAGTTCTGGTAGCTCTGGGCCTGGAGGAGGATCCTAAAGCTCTGTCCAATGCTTCAACATAATTTTAGTATACATGAGGGCATTCTCTGCTGGGATATTGCTCGACTGACCAAATGTCCTGTAGTGGAATGAAGGAAATTTGAGTGGGGTAAAGAAATAGCTTTCTAGCATGGACAGTGGTGTTGGATGGTATAGTTAAGGGAGATAAGTTGATAAAATGAGGGAAAAGCAGTGGATGTTGGTTGCCTACTGTATAGCCAGGTGATAGAGAACACCTTTTTTCTGGTGCTCCTATTCTCTATAGGTTTTAGATGGTTTGTATTGCAGGATGTTCTGCAAGAGCTCTTGGTTGGACAGTGTCACTGCTGCAAGTGCTTTCTGGAAGCATCAAAATGGTAGAGTTCTGGGTTGCTATGGTGTTTCCTGGTGTCTTATCTATGAACGAAAAGATGCAGGTGGCTGCATTGGGAAAAGAACAACCAAGAAATGAAGAGCGACGAGAGCCCCACTACTCACCACTGTCATACGAGTTGCAATCGTGACAAATTGGTACCAATGCGAAAATGGAGGATAGGATTAGAGTGTTGAAGAGGTGATAAATCAAAATACATGTGTGTAAGTGAGGTTTAGATCGGAATGTAGAGGAGAGGAGGTAAGATGCACATGCACAAATAGAAATGGAGCGAGGAGAAGGCGATCGGAGGCCGGGGGAAAGAGAGAGGAAAACTAAAGGAGTGGGCATATTGAAGAAATAGATTGATGGAGAAGACAGACATAGATGCTTAGATGGATAGTGGGGTAAGAGAAGCTTATTGAAGAGTTTATTTTAAGGCAAATTACTAAATATTAATAATTAAATTATAAAAATCTCAAACCACTATATTTTAACTCAACTTTGTAAATTAGTTTATAACGGGTTAATCAAATTGACACCAATTGAACCAGTCAATCCGTGATCCAGTTGTTTCACGTGGCAAATGATTAAATCCAAATTAACAACCTTGTCTTAAATCATGAAAGTTTAGAGTTATTATTAGGAGGTTGACAAATTTGAAGATTTAGCTGATGCATCTTGGAGAAAATGTGGTATTGTGGGCAAGATGTTATAGGCGTACAACTCAAAGCAGAAAAAAATAGCTAACAACTAGAGATGTGCAGAAATGTCTAGTGAGAATCCTCGGCTGAATAACAAATCATAATTATTTAATTAAGAAGCATGAATTAAATTGACTCTCAGATAATAACAATAATAATTAGTCAAATTATATTTTTATATACGGTTAAATGCTCTTTTCTCACTAACTCACTACCTTGGAATCAAATTAGCCAAATCATTAATCAAAGACGTGTTGAGCTGTTTACAATCTCTTCTCCCTTTTTCACTTGGTTTTACAATTATACTTTGATTAATTATTATTATTATATTCTCTTTTTACGTTCCCATTTTGCAAGCTGGAAACCGAATGTAGGCATTTTGATACTCTCTCTCCTTTTCTTTCCTTTCTCTCTCTAGCCCGTTCTTCTTCTTCTTCCACCTCCTATCATTTTCTCTATCTCATAAATTCTATTTTTTATGTTTTCCCCCTGTATGTACCCTTATTTTTCATTAATTTCAAAAAATTTTGAATTTGTTTTTATCTTCGTCACAATTTTCTCTCTCCTATCTCACAAGAATAGTTATTGGGGGTATAAAACTTCGTCTTCCACCGTTGGTTCCATATGATTAACAGAGACCGAAAGCCGGAAGAAGAGCATCTCCAACAAACAGAAATAGCAGCTCAGTCTTGGTATAACCCAATAACCCATCTCCTCCAGCCCCGACCCAACCGTCGGAGAGGAGCATTTGGGTTTTTTTTCACCCTTCTCCATTTTCGTCTCCCTCTCTGGTTCTCACTATTTTCCCCCAGACAATGGGATCAAAGTTCTAGCCCCAACGTCCCCCACACCCACCCCCTTCTCTTGTTCAAATCTCGTGGTGGGTTTCTGGGTTATTTTTTCTTTTCTTCTTTTGGTTGGGGGGTTTCCCATTTGTATTTTCCTTTTTTCTCAACTATTTGGAGTACAGATCTGAGTTGTTGAGAAAAGGGGAAAAATAAATTAAAATTTCTTTATTCATTTGAAAAAAGTTTTCCTTCATCAACAATGTCACCCTCATTCGGGTGGTGGGGAAAGGAAAGCAACAGAGGAACCCCCGTGGTGGTGAAAATGGAGAACCCAAACTGGTCCATGATTGAGTTGGAAGGTCCGTCGGAGGAGGATTTCCTCATCGCCGGCGGCGGAACCGAGACTCCCACCCGACTTAGAGACAAATCTCGCAACAAGAATGCCAAGCAACTAACCTGGGTCCTCCTCCTCAAAGCCCACAAGGCCGCCGGTTGTTTAACCTTCATTGGTTCCGCAATGGTCTCATTAGGCTCCGCCATCAAGCGTCGAGTCAGGTCCGGTCACACCGATGCCGACAGCACCGACACCGGCCTTGGCGTCGTTGAGAACCCGACCGTCAAAACTCGGTTCCACTCTTGCATCAAGATCTTCCTCTGGCTATCGCTGCTTCTTCTAGGATTCGAGGTGGCCGCGTATTTCGAAGGTTGGCATTTTGGAGCCCCACATCTCCAATTGCAGCACCTCCTCACAACCCCGCTCGAGTTTAAGTATTTCTTTGACTCGATTTACTCAAGATGGGTTTTGTTCCGGGGTGAATACCTCGCCCCACCTCTCCAGTTCCTCGCAAATGCTTGCATCTTGCTTTTCCTCGTCCAGAGTATAGACAGGCTAGTCCTCTGCTTGGGTTGTTTTTGGATCCGCTTCAAGAAGATCAACCCCGTTCCTAAACAAGATGTCATCGCCGACATGGAATCCGGCGAGAAGGGCTACTTCCCCATGGTGCTTGTCCAGATACCCATGTGCAATGAAAAAGAGGTAGATTATTTCAAAGCTTGAAACTTTCTATCCCTTTCTTTAATATTTTTTCTTATAATTTAATTGGGCATTTCATTAGGATGAAATTGTTATATTTTAATTTTTTCTCCACCCTAAGGTTTATCAACAATCGATTTGTGCCGTGTGCAATCTGGACTGGCCGAAATCGAAGCTTTTGATCCAAGTTCTGGATGATTCCGATGACCCAACCACGCAGTTGTTGATCAATGAGGAAGTTCAGAAATGGCAGCAAGAGGGAGCTAACATTTTGTATAGGCACCGAGTGATTAGAGATGGCTACAAAGCTGGCAACCTCAAATCTGCTATGAACTGCAGTTACGTAAAAGACTATGAATTTGTTGCCATTTTTGATGCAGACTTTCAGCCCACCTCGGATTTCCTCAAGAGAACAGTTCCCCATTTTAAGGTAACTTACTCATTCTCTACTTGTTTTGGATTGACTAGGAGAGCTTGGCTTCATTTAAAGTAGGGTTTTCTTAAAGGTGATTTCTTTTCTTTTTTCCTACTACAGAACAACGAGGAGTTAGGGCTAGTTCAAGCTAGGTGGTCGTTCGTGAACAAGGATGAGAACCTACTGACTAGATTGCAGAACATTAACTTAGCTTTCCATTTTGAAGTAGAACAACAAGTAAACGGGGTGTTCCTCAACTTCTTTGGGTTCAATGGGACTGCTGGTGTTTGGAGGATTAAGGCTTTGGAGGATTCTGGTGGATGGTTAGAGAGGACTACTGTTGAAGATATGGATATTGCTGTGCGGGCTCATCTCCATGGTTGGAAGTTCATTTTCCTAAATGATGTGGAGGTATGTGTATCTACGTGTATGATCAATTTTTTTGCCTCTCATTATTTGATTCGCGATTTATAATTTGGAGCTTCTTAATATGTGATTCAGTGTCAGTGTGAATTGCCCGAATCATACGAGGCTTACAGAAAGCAGCAGCATAGATGGCATTCTGGTCCTATGCAGTTGTTTAGAGTTTGTCTTCCTCAAATTATCTGCTCAAAGGTATTGTGGGATTTTTGCTATGGTGGTGCTATATTACTTGTGGGGTTGCAAGCTGACGAAGTAAAAATGTTGTTCTGGAACAAAAATTATGAAAGTGGGTGAAAGTGTTCATTCAAAAGAAAAAGTCAAATAAGGGAAACAAGAAAAGAATTTTTACTATGATTTGGGTTGATCACTTAAACAGTTACAAATTTCATAAGCAGTCGTTGTGTTGGCCTGCAACTAATGTCCTCTGTTTTCACTCCCCTGGAACATATAGAATTTGTTTGTGACCCCTTTCAATCACCATTTTTGCAGATTAGTGTATGGAAAAAGTGTAACTTGATCTTCCTCTTCTTCTTACTGAGGAAATTGATCCTGCCATTTTACTCCTTTACCCTTTTCTGCATAATTCTCCCCATGACAATGTTCATACCAGAGGCCGAGCTACCCGCATGGGTTGTCTGCTACATCCCTGCCACCATGTCATTCCTCAACATCCTCCCAGCACCGAAAGCATTTCCCTTCATAGTCCCATACCTCTTGTTCGAGAACACAATGTCAGTTACCAAGTTCAATGCCATGATCTCAGGACTATTTCATCTCGGTAGCGCCTACGAGTGGGTTATCACCAAAAAGTCTGGTCGCTCATCAGAAGGTGACCTAGTAGCATTGGGCCTGAAAGAGCTGAAGCATCAAAGAGGATCCTCTGAGCCTAATTTGGTCGAGATGAAGGAAGAGTTGGTGAAGCAAGAACAGAAAGCGATGAAGAAGAAGAAACACAACAGGATGTACACAAAGGAGTTATCTTTGGCTTTCCTTCTTTTAACGGCTGCTGCAAGGAGCCTCTTATCAGCCCAGGGTATTCATTTCTACTTCTTGTTATTTCAAGGAGTGTCATTCCTTCTGGTTGGTCTGGACTTGATAGGGGAGCAAGTTCATTAAGTGGATTCGGGGGGGGGGGGCGGAATGGCTGAGTAGGGTTTTATAGTTGTTATACTGGAATCATTATATAAGTACAAGCAAACACTGGATGGAAATACAAGTTTAAAGTGAATCATATATATACACGTGGGCAGGAAGACAATATACATCATCCGGTTGAGTGGTGTGCTTAGTTTGGCAATCATCCCTCTCAGGATCTTGCCTGTAATCGAAAGGTGGTTTGTGATTCGACCCATGGACTGAAGCATGAAGAAGAAGATGATGGAACAGAAGCAACAGAAAACATTGTAATTTGGGGGAGGAATGGATATAAATATGTTAGGTATAGTTTCATGATGGACGACCCTCTGTTAAAAATTGTAAGAACTCTTTTTCTTGCTCTATTTTTCTTGGGGGTGGGTTTCTGTTCTGTTTCATTCTTTTGTTTTTGGGTTCGCTTCTTTTGAAGGAAGGGGGAGGACATAACATAATAAAAAGGGGAGGAAAATATGTTGTGAAAACGTGGAGTAGGGGAGATTATTGACTTCTGTTTTCTTTCTTTTTGTGTAAGGAGGCAAAAGATGATGAGAATTCACTTATTGAATATGTCGTTAAGAAAAAGCCTTTTCATGTAATGTAAAAAAAGGGGAATATTGCACATTTTGAGTGATTGGAGTGTAGTAAGGCTCAAGGTTAGATTCCCAATCCTGAAATGCAAAGGATGACTCAAAACCCAGTTAAGATCTTTCAATGTGTCTGGTCTTTATAGAACTTGATACCTTATTTTGCCTAGAGGAAACTTGGGAGATGAAAAAGAAATCCCATGTATTGGAAAATACAGGAACAAAAGGAAAAAGATGACACTTTTCAAACAATCAGGAGAGTGAAACCCTTTAATTTATGTTCAGAAACACAATAAGAGATGGTACTACTGTTGCTGATAGTAGTGTATTATGATCACCAAAGCATGGGAGGAGGTTGTAGGCAAATGGGCCATGTTTATGGCTGGCTGGCTCGATCACAAAGCTGTCATGTGTTGTTGTATTTGTGGTTTGTAAAGGAGAACATCTGGACCGCGCCGCTTCTGTGAAAAATGTACAATGAAGGCAAAGCGATTCCCCTATGTTTTTTATTTTTATTTTGGGGATGGATGCTATCGAATATGCTGTGTTGTTTGAGTTTTTAATTTGATAGTTGGAAAGAAAAAGTAGAATAGATATTATCTTTGTGTGGGGTTCTCTCTTCATGTGATTATAGAGAGATACTTGCATCCACCACAATGTTTTATGGTCTATGTATATATATATATATGCTTAAAGTAAAAATTTTCTTCCAATTCAATGGGTCGGTCTATTATTTAAGAATTATGATGGTTGAGGTTTACTTCTAATCATTGTATGATTTAAGAAGATGACCGCTACTTATTGTTGAACAAAAAGTAACAAATGGATTTACATGGGTGGATAAAATTAATTAGCTTCCATCATTCAAAAAATAGCACATATATTTATTTTATGCACCTTCAATCATCAACATATCAACATGAAAATTATAAACATTCAAATATCCCCTTTTTGGTTGGAAGTACTAAACTTAACACTACAGTCATCCATGTTTGATATTTTGTCCATGGAAAAGGAATTGTTTGTGTTTTTATAAGACCTTGAGAATCATACATAGTCTCATAATGTAATATAGGATTAGTTATAGGTACGACATGGAAGTCAAACGTCAAAAGATGCTCTTGACTAGCTAGATAGTCAGCACATGCATAAACGTTTTTCTTTCATGCAATTTTTTTTGGTGAGAAACAGAGCACTGGGGGAGCTCTAACCCTTAATCATTGATAGTACGAGGGGTTTGTACCCCAATAGCATCGAAGTACAACCAATAGTTCAACATAGGACTTGGGTTCCCAAACATATGAACCCCAACAGGCAAAGAGAGACCGAGATTCGCCAAATGATCAGCCGTATGATTGCTTTCTTGGTACACATGCTTAACATTAACTTGCCAATCCATCTCCAGGGGTCGCTGCACCTTGTCAACTAGCATGCGATGGGGATGCGAGTTTCCCGCCGACTATAGTAGCTGCACTGCTGTCAGGGAGTCTGTTTGCAGCTCCACCTTCCTCGCACCACTCTCCCATGCCATTCGTAAACCTTGGACCATACCTGCGAGCTCCGCGTGGGTGATCGAGCCGCCACCCAAGTTGACCGAAAAGGCTGAAACAAACTTTCCATCCGCCTGCAATAATACGCCCCCTGCCGCTGCTCTCTCCTCTACCATAACCATAGAACCATCAATATTAACACACAATCAATCATCCGGTGGACTCCTCCAGCCGATCATCCTCGTAACCCGGTTTTTGTTCTCGCCAGTTACCCGTTGCATATGTTTCAAGCCTTTAGAGACTTGATTGCGAAGCACCTGTACCCTGGAAACCATCTGTGGAGCCGACGCAAGTTGCTTCTCGAAGACCCATGTGTTTATGTTCTTCCAGAGTTTCTAGCAGAGGATTGTAAATAGAGTAGGGTCTATACTAGAGCCATGGCCGGACACATAGTACATCATCCATTTATTCACATCTTCCTCGAAGAACACTGTATCTGGTTCCTCCTCTAGGAACTCCGCCCACATCATTCTAGCATACGGACAGTCCCGCAACATGTGGATCGTCGTCTCAGGGCCTTTTCTGCATATGAGGCATTCATCCTCCTGTGTTAGGTATCGTCGTCGTCTTTCAGCATTGGTCAGGAGCCGATGATGAGTGGCTAGCCACAAAAAAGTTCTCTTTCGCTGCGGCCCTGGGACCTATCATATTGCATTCCAGATCGGGTTGCTTTGCCCTACATTATTCCCCCCTCGGAGAAGCTCCCATGCTATCTTCAAAGTAAACTTCCCCGATGGGCAAAAATGCCAGATGTGTATATCGGGGTCCTCTCCTTGGGGGATCAGTTGAAGAAGGACTTGGGCTGCCATATCCTCCGGGAGAAATGATATGATAAAATCCATGTTCCAGCTCCCATTTAGACCATCTATGCGATCGTTAGCATTGATGCCGCAACTGGAAGATGGGGAGCAAACTCTGCAAGGGTATGGCCATCTTGGAGCCAATGATCCGTCCAGAATGATGCCTGCATGCCACTTCTAATATTCCACATAATTCCATTCGGTAAGCGATGGAGGACCTGAAGCACACCCCTCCAAAGGTTCGACAATCTGCCTTTGCGTCGTGTTTGTCACCCATATGCATTATACTTCAGGTACTTTCCTCTAACGACGCGAGCCCACAAGCTTTCTGGTTCCGTAAAAAGGCGCCAAGCAATCTTCAAAATGAATGCCTCTTTCATGAAATTTGGTCTAATAGTTGGTGGTTATATTAATTGAAAAATAAAAAATAGTACCATAATTTATGGTATATATGATGACTGATTAGTGACATAAAACAAACAGCTTAATGACGATTAAACAACCTCTACACACTATTTAGTGAAATGTTTGTCACTTGCAGGAAGTATTTGGAATGGACTTTCAAAGACATACTAATTAGTTTAGCTTTAATTTGTTGACTTAAAAGAAAGAGAAACAAATAAAGAAATTTGGTCCTATATCTGATGGTGATAAGCAACTGGGTTTTGTTTGTCTTTCTATTGTGAGTTAGCGAGTGAAAGAGGGGGTAAGTGGGTCGGGTGAAATAGCTTGTCAAAATATAATCGAAGTATGAACTAATATAATTAATTTTTATCATTTGATTGATATAAACAGTATTAAATTATTAAAAATTTATTAATGAACTGATACCTTGTAAATTAAAATATTTTAAGTAGTTCGTCTAAAAATTATAAATAGAACACACATAATTATACTGAATTTTTAATGTACAGTTGTCAAATAAATATATTAAAAACAATAACCAAAATACTCAAATAAAAAAAATTAGTTACATTCTATAGCAATAAATTATAGATTCTAAGCATAAAGTTCTACACAGTTTAAAAACCAAATGGGGCAATTAAATTTGTTTGACATAGGGGGAGAGGTGAATAGAATAGGAATAAGATGGAGCATGCTTTTTTTCTTTTTCTCGTTCCTAGATCCAGCTGTATCCGATTGCGAAATTAATTTTTCAATCTTGTTTAATTGATCGGGTGGAATGTTTGAATTGATCAGCCAGTTTTGAGCGGTTAATCATTCAGACCGATATTTGATTGCATGGTTAACAAAAGACGTTAAGATTTACACCAACCAGATCAGGCAAGTGGCCTACTTATGTATTCAACCAGTTGGATTGATCGGTCCGATTTTTAAAACAATGGTTGTCCCCCTTTCTCCCACCCTCCATAATATTTATTTTACTATCATTTGGTTTATCTTATTGTTAAATTGGTGTAATGTATGCATACATTTCTTTGACTTTTGATTATGTACATTTGGCAAGTTCTTTGACGAGAACTGCAGAATTAAGTCGATGACATATATGCATGCATTTCTTTTTTGGCACATTCATTATATACTGGAGTTGGATCATTGTAGATTGGATTCGGCCGAAGTTGTTTGTTTGATGCATTGTTGAATCATGGTTATAAAATGTATGTCTTTCTATGAAAATGATTTGAAGGAGTCAAGACCCCGACATTGGTAGCAACAAAAGGAAATGACGTTGTTGTTGCAAGTGGCATCCCTTCTTTCTTGGACTTATTTATGTATGCCTAATGCAACTGCCTACATGCCTTGTGACCATCCGTCCTTTGTTTGATGTAGTTGTTGTTTGGCCTTTGGTCTTCTCTTCGCTCAACTTTCTTGTCCTTTCTTTGTATGCATCTCCTAACTTACAAATGACTTAGCTTTTTGTTTGATGAAGATCATTATTATATTATTAGTTTGTTTTAAGAACACTTCCAAATGGATAGTTGGATGCATAGGGGTGACTTATTAATTATTACACGGTAGCGATCTCTCCTAAAATGTAGGAAACAAAAGGAAGTGTATTACTATCACTTCTCAGTTCCCACTCATAAATGTGTGAAAACTAGAGACAAAGAATTCGTCGCCCACAATGTAAATTGTGCCGACTATGTAGAGTAGATGATGCATACGATATATGGTTTTAAATTTGTCCCTTTTATTTTGTTTGGCTTTATATCAATGCCTTTACCAATGAGCGTTATACCGTCGTCTCCAATGTAAATTACGACGACCATTATTTTCTCGTATGTTTCTAGTAATTCACTATCCAAAATCAACCTCAAGTGTCATTTCTAGAGTTAAGTGGACTGTATGATTTTGAGTGGTCTTTGTTTGGGGACAAGCAAAAGGTTAAGTATTAGGTAATTTTATGACAATTGAAAGGTAGTGTTTATCATGACCTTTTCTTAGCAAGATTTCTCTTATTTTGACGCATCCTTTGTCATTCAACTATGACTTTTGCTTCGTATTTTGTTCCTTTGTGCATTTTATGGCTCTAGGAGTAATTAATATCCACCACCAAGATCGAAGTCAATAGTCATCTCGAGAGTTCAGTGAGTTGCATGATTTTGAGTGGTATTTGCTTGGGAATAAAAAAATGATAAAGTAAGAGGTAATTAGATAAACTCGAAAAGTAGTGTTTATCATGCCTTTTTCTTAGCAATATTCCCCAATTTTTATGCCTCTTTAATCTCTATTCATTCTACTAGGGGTTTTGTTTGGAATTTGTTCTTTTGCACATTCTAGTCCTTAGAAGTATATTTATCCTTTTGATATCTTTTGTGATAGTATTACATAGTTTTTAGGTCTAGGTACACTTGAGGAAGAATGCAGAAGAAACAAGGATGGATGACAAAGAAGGAGCAAATGATTTCCAGTTCGAAGAGTTCGTCGTGGACTAGGGGGTTCCCATTGGCAGTTTCAAACTGGCATGAACTGCAGAGAAAGGCCAAGAAGATTAGAAGACATAAATATCAGGGTTGTACCTATACAAGACCAACATGATCATGGCGGTCCAACCCACTTTGATGTTCGGTTCAGCCCACTGTGAGTTACCCTATGTAAGAAGATCCTATAACCAAAGCCTATAAATATATATCTTAGAAGAACTTATTGACATCTATGCTTGGATCAACTTTAAAACTCTGGTTCGACAAGCCAAAGATGGATAAGACTGCAGTGGCGGAGCTAGAAATTCGAATGAGGGGGATGGGGCTAAAAACTAATGCAAAAAGAATTCAAACTGGAAAGGAAGGGGATACAACCTTATCAACTACTATATTTTGTCAATTTATTACAAAATTTACATGTAATTTTACATGATTTTGAGAGTTGAGTGAGTGCTATAGCCTCCCTTGTCATTGACGTAGCTCCGCCACGGGATAAGAGGACTTCAGCACCTGGAGATGGCATATCATATGCATATCATTTGCTATCCATGGCTAGAACACCTTTTATTCAAGTTATTGGAACCTAGAGTGGTTCCAACATTTTATATCATGGTTTGAGTTTCATTCTATATATCTTGTTTTTCTTGCATGCTAACCTTAATGAGAAATCAAACCTATGTATCTTATATCACCACGATAAGAAAATATATGTTTAATTCCAATATTTTTTTCCGGTAATTTGATTGAAATATGTTTGCTATTGATCAAATCTTATAATTTTATGATTGAAGTATAGTAGACGAGTAATCTCTCATTATACAATTACTTTGTTGCAAATGAGGAATCCCAAAATGTTACCCATATTGAGCGGAGTTAAGAAAATAACGGAAACACGAGTTTATGTGGTATCCCTGAGTGATCAGAACTAGTCCACGGGAGAGCCTCAAGATTGTCCCAGCTACGGTTCTTATTACTTACCCGTCTGGGAGAGACTTACAACAAATATATGCATGGAAGAAAACCCTTCTAGGGTTCAGCCGAGCAAGAAGAAGAGAGAAGAAAGGGACGTGCACATGGATATGGACTATACAAGTGGTGTGGCCTAATGGGCAAAATACATGTGGACAATGGTCGGCTAACAGTCTCCCCCAAATTAATGTGGATCTTGAAGCATCAATTTGCTAGATAGGAACTAATGACGACTAATGCTAAAGGACTCCGTCAACAAATCTGCAACCAAATCTTCAGTCGGGATATAGTGAAGCTGAATGACACCAGCACGGACGAGATCCCGTATATAGTGCACATGAACTTCGATATGCTTGGTGCAATTGTGAAGAACATAATTGATAGCAATCTGAATCGCACTGGTGTTGTCCACATGAAGAGTCATTAGGGAAGGAATAGAGACGTCAATATCCCTAAACATTCCATCTCAGAACCAACATCAGACATAGCCCTATTCTCCGCTTCAGTCGAAGACTTAGAAACCTTATCCTACTTTTTATAGAGTCAAGAAAAGAAAGTATCACTGAACCGAACACACCAACCAGTAGTCGATTAACGAATGTCAATACACCCAGCAAAATTAAAATCAGAGTAAGCCTAGCAGGGCACGAGTGAGCTCCACAGTATGACAATTTTTACATTCAACCACACAATTTTGCTGCGAGACACCAAGGCATGACAGTATACATAGAATGCCATGGTCTCAATAGTACTGCAGCAAGGGATTAGAGATAAACTCAACATCGGGATCGAACCTGAGAATTCTCACAGTTTTGCCAAACTGAGTATGGATCATAGTAAGGAACTCTGTAGCTACAGCATAAAGGTCGGATTTCAAGTGAAGGAAATAAACCCAAGTGTACTCAGTGGCATGATCTACAAACAAATCAAAATACGTATACCCGTGCCGAGAAGTAATGGGGGCAGGACCCCATAAATAAGTATGGACAACATGAAAAGGATAAAAAACAATAGTTTTGCTGCATGGGAAAGATATGCTTTTGGCCTTTGCCTCAACGCAACTCGAACACATGTGAGATGTGAGAAGAAGGAATCCGAAATGATTTATTACCAAGAAAATTTTGTTGAAACATAAACTATAAACGTTGAGAATTCAAGTGGCCTAACTGAGAATGCCACAAATTCCACTGACAAACAGATTGACTCGAAGACTCGACTGAAGACGAAACAGATTGAGGAACATAAGACACGATAGACACCTGCGGACGGGATGATGATGACACGACCTACAGACTGGATGATGATGACACGAAGGAAGAAGGAACCGAGCTGTCCGAGAGTTCTTCCAATGTAAAAGTGTGGCCACGCTTACTCCCCCCTTCTGATCATCCTCCCCGTCGTTAGATCCTACACAAAGCACCCAGACGGTGCGAATAAAACATAACAGTTCTCATCAGTAAGCTGGCCGACTAAAACAAAATTAGGATAAAGTTGTGGAACATGGAGAACATTAGGCAATTCAAGACGTTGAAAATCAAGAAAACCAACTACGGCAAGGCAGATGCTCACCATTGGAGACTTGTAAATGCAAACCATTAATCGGACGAATATGACTAAGTTTCTTAGACTCACTAGTCATGTGATTGAAGCACGCGGAGTCAAGAAGCCACAGTTTACCTGAAACATGAACGGCATCAAAGACAAAGTTGTGGAACATGGAGAACATTAGGCAATTCAAGACGTTGAAAATCAAGAAAACCAACTACGGCAAGGCAGATGCTCCATCAACTGCCAATCCGTCCAGAAATCCTGGACGAATGTTTCTTCGGACCGGAAATTCCCATCAGTACCGAAATCCTTGCCCACTGCCATCAACTACAGGCCAATATGTTTCTTTTGACTCGGATTTCTAGAAGAATGTCTTTTCGGACCTGAAATTCCCATACGACGTAATTTTTTGGATTGAGACGAATGCCGAGGCAATCATAATCCCCAGACGGAGGCTCTGATACCATGTTAGCCATATTGAACGAAGTTCAGAAAATAAGAGAAACATGGATTTACGTGGTATCCTGAGTAATCAGGACTAGTCCACGGGAGAGACTCAAGACTCTCCGAGCACTTAACCATCTGGGAGAGACTTACAACAAATATATACATGGAAGAAAACCCTTCTAGGGTTCAACCGAGCAAGAAGAAGAGAGGGGAAAGGGACGTGTGCATGGATATGAGCTATACAAGTGGTGTGGGCCAATGTGCCAAATACAAGTTGACAATGGATCGGCTAACACAAACATAACTGTAGTAATTGAGATAGAATGAGATTAGGAATTAAAACTCGATAAACCGTTTGTTTTGATTAATCTATTAATCTTGTAAACTCTAGATCCAGGATACTCAACCTAACAACATAATTTATTCTCTGGTTCTTCATTTACTCCATGTTTTGTTTCATTACTTTACATACTTTTGTTTTTCGGTTTGCCTTAAGCAATCAACTTAAACTTCAACTACAACTTGTTATGGAATATTTACAATCGATTTGAAGCAGTGAATAGAAAAGGGTCTAGGGAATACGGTCCCATGAGTTCTTACACTTTATGCGTTAAGTTTAAACCACTATATTTGAGTTAATTGCATGGTTGATCACTGAGATTACAAAAAACGTTCAAGTTTGATCACTCGAAATATTTAAATCAATTGGTGGTACTTTAGTTTACTGAAACTGTTCACGTTTGGTCACTCTCCGTCCAACTCTGTTAACTTTTGCTTATGTGGCAGTCAACTCTAAAAGTTGACCGTTAAATGTGTGACGTGGCAAATTAAAAATAATAAAATTTAATTTTTTAAAATTTTCATCTCATTTCTAACTATTAAAAAGATAAAAATAAAATTATTAATTATTAAAATTAAGAACAAACAGAAAATCCTCTTGATTGCTCGATTGGCCGGTCGCTCATGGACGAAGACGAGGAAGCCGCCGCCGCGTTATTGTTAATCTGCTCCTCCCGGGAATTGTTGTTATTGTTGTTAACGATTCCCTGCTGCTCGGAAACCAAGCCCATGATCTCCTTGGCCTTCTCAACCGGGAAATCGTTGAACACAATCACCTTTCCGCCATAGAAAATCGTCATCTGAGCACCTCCTCCGGCCGCCGCCATAGATCCATGAGCGACCGATCCATTGAAACAGGAAAAAGGGGAAATGGGGTTTCGTGTTGTGCTATGAATCTTGGCTCAAGCGATCCATGGAGACAGTGGTTCGTTTGGTTTTCTCTTTAGTTGTTGATAATGTGTAGCCGAGTAATAAAAGTTTTCGTGACCTTTGATTTTGACGACAATTGGGTGCTTTCTTCTGGAGCTTTTATGCTCCAAGTATTACATTTCTAGTTGTTTACTCTTGGACCTGATTGGGGCATTTTAAGTTTCGAAAGAGATGTTATTACTTGATATGTTTCCCATCTAATGGCATTGATAATGCTACTGAATCTAGTTTGTCTCGGTTCGATTTGTCTTTCAATTGATGAAATTGGGCTGCTTTCTTATCGTTGATTTACTTGTTTTTGTCTCCGTTGCCGGCGCCGGAGAAGTCCACTTTTACACAGACCTGCAATCTCCTCAGCCAGTACTTGAAGGCCGGGAAGGCCACCCTGGGAGATATCGGCATCGGCGCTAAGCTCGATCATCATCAGCCTCCAATTAATTGCAACAAATCATCAGGTAATTAACCAATTCTCCATCTTAATAATTAATCTTGAGAGATGAAAATGAATTTAGATATGAAATTCATGGTTTATTTGTTGTTAATTTTTTTAAATTTATAAAGTTGCTGCTGTGCCGACCACGATGCTGGACCTTCTGCCCGGCATTGGAAGCTCCTCCCCCAATCGGGAGGCAGAGAGCAGCGACGGGAAGCCGTCGCCATCACCGTTGCCTCTGTTCGCCGGGTATGGATCTACGGTGGCGGCCGGAGGAGGTGCTCAGATGACGATTGAAGGTGATTGTGTTCAACGATTTCCCGGGGGAGAAGGCCAAGGAGATTAACAATAACGCGGCGGCGACAGTGGCTTCCTCGTCTTCGTCCATGAGCGACCGACCAATCGAGCAACCGAGAGTATTCTCCGTTTGTTCTTAATTTTAATAATTTATAATTTTATTTTTATCTTTTTAATGGTTAGAAATGAGATAGAAAATTTTAAAAAATTAAATTTTAAAAAATTTATTATTTTTAAATTGTCACGTCACATATTTAACGGTCAATTTTTAGAGTTGACTTGCACGTAAGCAAAAGTTAATGAAGTTGGACGGAGAGTGACCAAACATGAAGGGTTTCAGTAAACTAAAGTACCACCAATGGATTTAATATTTCGAGTGACCAAACTTAAATTTTTTTTATAATCTCAGTGACCAACCATGCAATTAACCCCACTATATTTATTATGGCGGACTAAATTTTGACGTCATTATTGGAGGCATCTTTTCTTTGATCAAGAAAGATCGAGTGTTTGTGTTTATTTTAATTTTTTGTTTTTGGCTACTTTTCAAGCATATGGGCGGAGGGTGACAAGATTCAACCTCTACATCAAACTTAAGGTCACCATCTGGTTATAAAAGAATAGATTCGCGAAAATCATAATTATCTCTTGACACAAACCAGGGCATACCCAAGCCGTGTACCCATATTAGCAGTCTAGTCCATCAACAATGAGAGTTACTCATTCCATTTCAAACCATCCAAATAATGGTATTCAAGAGTCAATCTCAGAATAATTTAACCCAAATTGGAAGCATTTCAATTTGTGTTAGTAATCGTGCGAGCAAGAGATTGGCCTAGTGATAATAAGACTATTGTAAGTGGTGTAGCCATCATTTTACTTAAGATGGGTCTGACTTAAAATAAAATATATAATTGTTTTTATTATTATTTAAATGATTCACAAAGATTTTCATAGTTCACCGACATTTTTTCTTTTGAGTGTTGAGAATTTGATACATAACTAGGAATCTGTAAACTCAAAGCAAACATTTAAAGATAACATTTTTATGTAAAACTTAGAGTTATGTATATAATATTTAAGGTTATTGTATGCCATAAAATTTGGGAGCGGATCAGGTTAGTAACTCTTATGGTGAGTAACCATCAGTAACCTGTCCACATCCGCATGAGATTAGCATCCCCTCTCTCTTGGAAAGTCTTTTTATCTTTTCCTCTTTAATTTTTAACGAACGATTTCTCTCTCGTTTTAAGTCGAAATTTAAAAAAATTTGCACAGAGAAATCAGATTAAATGTGCTCTTTAAAATGATATTCACTTTAATATATTTTTAGTACAAAAAAAATTGAATAATTTTTTACCAGTCATTACCATATGGTATGCTCATATTTAATACCATATGGTAAGAAAACGTATCATATGATATGTTCTTTAAAATGATTTAGTTACTCATAGGTTAATAACCAATGGTTACTCACCCTATCATAAGCCATAAAACTCATATGTTCTCTAAAATATACTTTCCGTAACAGTTACCTATAAAAATCAACCAATCGTCCGTCACTTGCTTGGATAAACTATAAGTATATTTTAGAGCCCAGTGAAGCAGCGTAATCGACTCTATCAACCGGCCCGCAGTTGGGCCTTTATGTCCTCAAAGCCAGTCGGCAAACACTCTAACTGACTTTCTCTGGGCTTACTTGGGTATATCACCGTTTCGCGGGTACTCCGGGAAGCAGTTGCTGATTTGTCCACGTGGCGCAATCCCCATTGGCTGAGGGCAAAGCAGTTTGACCTGACTTTGCAGATAGCTAGACAGAGTGTTGATGATCAAATCTCAGCTCACCGAACCAAACAAACGAACAAAAATAAAATAATCCGTTACGATTTCGTTCCTCGATTTCACCCTTTTTCCTGCTCTTGTCTTCAGTATTATTTGGATCTCACGATTCCATTTCTCCGGCGGGGAAGCAGAATGGTGGGAGACACTGTTTAAAAAAGAACCGCGTTAAGTTGGATCGAGTTCCGGCAGCCACCCAATGTCGAGGAGGCCGGTAAATCCCTCCCGCCGCTACGGCGACAGCGGCAGCGGAGGCGCTCTCTTCAGTTCCAAGTCCCGCTCCCCTCCCTACTTGTCAATTGCCCTCATCGTCCTCGTACGCTTCTCTCATTGCTACCTCGTTTTTTTCTTTTCAAAATTTTGATTCCGATTCTGATTTCACCGTGGTGGGGCTTTTCACAGGGAGGATTGGCCGTGTTCACTTATCTCCATTCCGGAGGTCAGCCGTCGAATCTTCCGTTTCGCTGTAGAGTTTTTTCATTTCGGATTTACCAGCTGATTACGGAAACTGTTTGTGTTTGTTTTATTTGGAGCAGGATTTGGTGGCAACAAATCACCTTCCATACGCCTTGAAGGTATTATACAATGCTTCAGTAGCTCAACTAGTTTCCGTAGCAATTGGGTTGTGCGATTTATAGAAAGGGAACTGGATAATGACACTTTGTAGGAAAATAACCATTTAGATAAGTGTCATTTGGTGCTATCGCTATCGGCTATCCTATCCTATCCTATCCTATCCTAACCAACATTTCAAGTGCTTCCCTTCCGTGGAGTCATGGACTGTTCCCTGTTTAGTATCACCAAAGAAATCGGTTGATGGTATTGTGCTGACCATTCTAATTATTTTGTGTGTACAATGTACATACTATCGATTGTCTCGATTCGTCTTAAAGCTGCAATTCTCCCCCCAGTCTCGGTGGCTCGAGGTTTATGGTACTATCTTCTACTCGTTGTGTGTGTGTTTGCAGATGATAGTTCATGTACAGGAGAGCTACACAGGGCGATACCAGTGCTGCGGAAGGCATACGGTGACATAATGCACAGAGTAATGCATGTTGGGCCTGATACTTGTTCAGTGGTTTCGGCTTTGTTGAAACAAGAGGAAACTGAGGCATGGGGCGTGGAGCCTTACGACTTGGAGGATGCTGATGTCCATTGCCGAGCCCTTGTTAGGAAAGGCTTTGTCCGCGTTGCTGATATCAAGTTCCCACTTCCTTATAGGCCCAAATCCTTCTCCCTTGTTATTGTCTCAGAGGCATTGGATTACCTCTCCCCAAAATACCTGAACAAGACCATCCCTGATTTGGCCAGGGTATCGACTGAGGGCGTCGTAGCCTTTACAGGTGCGGATTAAATTCAAACTCGCCCAACTTCAGTCATAGATTCTGGTTTGAGCAGCTCTTGATGCTACTACGTGAACTCAAGCATTCTTCATTGCCTGTGACTGTGAGAATTGTGTGGCATTGCTAATACCCTGAATTTGATTTAAGACACTAGAGAGGTTCTACTTGAGATGCTCTTCTGTTTCCGCTTTTAGTTTTAGATTTCTCAATATTGTCATCTTAATAGGGTTTCGATGGAAACGACTCTTCTGTTCTCAATTAACAGATCCACACTATAACTAGATAGGCATACACGAATTTGTGCCTTAGTTATAACCCTTACCTTTTGACTGAATTATATGCTTGTAACGCTTAGAATATCTCATGTTAATGTCCCCGTTGCTTTTTCTTTGTTCTTTTTGTACTGACTTTAATGATCTTTACTTGGTTGCCCTGCAACTGAGAACTGCACGATACTTGGAAGTCCGCTGTATTTGCTATCACATTTTGACTGATTATATGCTTGTAACCCTTACCATATATGCCGTTTCTGCTTATAAAACTTCCATCACTCAACTAATATGAACTTTATACATAAAGGGTTCCCAGGTCAGCGCACAAATAAAGCAGCTGACGTGTCCAAATTCGGCAGGGCGGTAAGTGTTACATTGACTCTTCTTACCACTTGGTTATGGTTCAAAATGTAGCTTAACGTGTTGATATAGCAAGAGTCACATTTACCTTCTTGTTCTTGTTCTTCTTCTTTCTGCAGGCTAAAATGAGGAGTGCATCCTGGTGGAAGCGATACTTTGGCGTAACAAACGTAGAGATAAACGAAGCAGCGACCAAGAAGTTCGAGCAAGCCGCAACCAAAATGTCTTACACTCCAAGCTGCCAAATCTTCCACCTCAAGGCATACAGCTGAATGTTTCAGCACTCTAGTTTTTGCAGTACCATTTTCTCTTATATACACTTAGAGGTTATCTTTCTGGACCAGAATGGTCACAGAGCGTTTTATGGTAGGATGAATTAAATCATTGGTCACTTACCTACAGCCCTTCTAGATCTCTTGCTCAGACAATTTCACATTATTTGAACACCGATATCCAATCGAGTTTTGACTTTTGAGTATAGCAATTATCCCAACTGTTGGGACATATATAGTGGGCGTGGGTCATGAGTCATCTATCTTTAATTTTCTAGCTTGGAGGATGTGATGTTATGTGACCTGTCTGTCCTTGCGCTGAAAATGATACCTGGCTTGTTCAATTATGAATCCCTATACAAGAAGCTGTTATGTTTCAGAATGAAGGGATGTTGGTCTGTGAGTTGCACGAGGTTCGGTCGACAGTCGACATTGGGCACGACATGTTGGGGAGTCTGCGCCATTACATGTCATGAAAGAGACTCTTGGAAGGCTCCCTTCCCCCACAACACTATATTTGACCCCAATTATAAGTGATGTATATTCTAGTTTGTCTTTGTTATCCTGGAGTCAGGTGTGTGCATTCAATTTTTTATTTCTATCAATCAGAACTATATATGGTTGTTTGGTAGCTCGGAAGTAACGTAACTAGATAGATTAGAGATTTAGAGAGGATTTAGAGATTTGATGACATTCTATTTATAAGTTTATCACTCTCATATTTCATACATTTCTCCCCTCTATTAATACATCTGATTCGGGTCTAATTGTAAACATTTTGCCCCTCATTTTTTGATTGTTTAACTTTGCATTTCATCGTTCCTCGCCATATGCCACACTAGGTTGTGCTTGTTTTGATACATTTCAGGTCCTAACACATGTGGAAGGGTCGAGGGCGAGTTTCGTGACGATTGGAGGTCAATAAGCACAAAAACTGAAGAAAAGTCCAAAATGTGACAATAGCCCCGTGACCGTTAAGCGCAGGCATTCAGGAACCAGCCGTAGTTCACGGTCAGAGCTGCAAGTTCACGGTCGCCAGGACCGTGAACTAGAACCACAAACCGTGAATCACGAAGCGTCTAGAGGGGTTTCATAGGTTACTAACGCTGAGGTAGTTCACGGTCGCTATGACCATGAACTGGAGCCATGGACCGTGAACCCTAGAAGTGAAACGGTGCTTTTTGATTCAAGCATTGGAGTTTGCGGACGCTTTCTGATGTTCACGGCCGTGAACTGGGACCATGAACTGGGCGCGCGGCTGGGTATAAATAGAGAGATGGAAGGAGGAAGAAGGGAGCTTTTTGGTAGGGGTTTTTAGTTTGAGAATAAATGGGAGTTTCTAGTGAGAGATTAGGGTTTCCTCTTCCTAATCTAGAGAGAGAAAGTGAAATTCAAAGAGGAAGGAGATTTGGGCTCATTTGAAACTAGAGGAGTGAAAGTTCCTTCTTCTCAAGGGAGATTCAAGCAACAAGGAAGAAAGATTTTCATCTCTTCATGGTTCTTTCTCTCCTTTTCCTTGTTTTCCTTTGCCTAGCTATGGAATAGTCTACCTATTCACTTGGGTGTTTGTAAACCATAGCTACAATCATGTGAATGCTTGTATGAATTGAATGATTTGTGTGTGATTGTGTTTTAATGTGAATGTGGAGGTATTATTCAAAAATAATTGTGCTATGTAAAAGCCTATCAATCTAATTGTCATTCTAACCTAGCTTAGATAGGAGACCTCCTTAGGTTAAGAGGCTCAATTTGAGATGGGTGTTCTTGGGCATTTCATGCCTCTAGGCTACTTTAGAGACGAAACCTGCTTTATCCAAAGAGGCTCGATTTGAGCTGGGTTTCCTTGGGCATTCAATGCCTCCTAAACTAGTTTAGATAGAACCATTCCTTATTCAATAGTTGAGAGGGTCGCATTAGCGGCTTGGATCGTATCCCATTTCCTCAACCTAGAGACTAAAAGGCTATCCTTGGCTACTTGTTAGACTTACCTGCGGTTTATAACCCCCTAACCACACACGATCACTCGATCCTTCAAGTTGTAATTGCAAGCTAGGGGGAGCAACACCCAAGTGAACTCTTCTCTCAATGGGACAACCTCGATTTACTTTACTTGCTTGTTTTCATTTGTAGGTTTATTAGTTTTAAACCCAAAAAACGTTTGCTAGATAACAAACTAAGCGATTGAAGTAGGGGTACATGGTCCAACCCGGGTTTGACAATTAAATACTTGTCCTATACTGCACCGGGCTAGAGTTTAAAAACTTGGGCTCTAGTCTGGATTAATTCCCGGTGTAGTTTCGTGCGAGTCAAGTTTTGGCGTTGTCCGGGGACCTTGCGGTCCGTTATCAGAAAAGGTCGCTTAGTTTTACTCTAGCATTTTCTATCTTGCCTTTTTGTTTGTGTTTTGTGTTTCATGTGTCTTTTGTTTACCACTCTTCGTCTTGCAGGGTGGTTTGAGTGTGTTTGATTGTCCTTTTTAGTGTTTTTGTGTTTGTAGGTATTGGATCATGGATGCTTATGATTTCGCCCAAGTGTGGGGGTATCCACCAACACCCGAGAGTGGTTACCCCGGAACTTCATAGGACGATCAAGAAGTGGGGAAACGCCTCCCAGACATCGCAAGAAAGCGCAAACCCAAATAGAAATTCTTTAGGCCTTGCTTCGGCTTCAAGTCAAAGAAACCTTTTCCTGGTAGGTTTAGGAGGATTTTGACTGAGTTCTACACTATAAATGGAGGGCTAGACTCATTAGTTTAGTACAATTCCATTCAAAACTTCTGTAAGCATTCTGTTTGAGAGAGAGCCTAACCTTCGTAGGAGAGATTGGAGCTATAGAGATGCCTTCATCATCGATGTTGATACCCTCATGCTCTTCTATGTATCGCTAGTTCGAAATAGATTGTATGACAATGTGAACTCGTTTCTCTTTGTATTTATTGATGCTATGGTTTCATATTGTGCCTCTTTTGGTGCTTGTGATTTTTGATGCCCAACATGTATACATTGATGCTTTATCGTTTGGTTCCTATGTGTTTTTTTTTATCGATGCTCATTTAGTTCAATACTCACTTTTCATTATTTCTTATGACTCTATAATATGATACTACATGCATTGTGCTTAGTATTCTCTAGGTTGTTAAGAAATCACCCTCTAGTGATACCCCATTGATGCTACAAGAGTATAGAGGGAATCATCAACCATCTATCTTTGAGAATATCAATGTTTGACTGTTATATGATCGATGCTATAGACCATTGATTATGGCTCAAGGGACCACACTTAATCATGTGCTATTCTCATTTTCAGTGTTATTAAAACCAAGCCGAGACAATCGGCCTGACCGGTAAAACCGTCACCCGGCGACCAAACCGGCTTGGCACAGTCTGAAAACCGTTGCTATTTTATATAGCGGCTGGCGAGCGGCTGAGGCGGTTAACCGCTCGAGCTGATCCATCTGGTCACCCAGTTTTTGAGTAGTGCCGCCTGATGTACAAAAAATTAGAACAAAAAAAAATTAAAATTAAAATTGTTGGGTTGAACCTCAAGCTCCCGCCACTGTTAGTCCCGTCGGCGCCCCCGCCAGCATCTTTCTTTGTTTCCTCGTTGGCGAGAAATTGGTGCATTAGCGAGAGAGATAGAGGAAAGGTAGGACGGATAGCAGATGAGGATGAGAGAGAGAGGAGAGGGGGCACGAGAGAAAGGGAGAAGTAGAGATGAAAGGAGTAAAATCGAAAATCGGGCCATGCAGTTAAAAGCGCGATTCTACCTAAAAGCGGAAAAGGGGTAAAATCGAAAAGCAGTGAATCGAAGCCTTAAAGCGTAAGTTTTTATGCATACTGTATAACAGTTAAAAATCTGTTAAGTACAACATAAACTATGTAAAATATTAGTGCACAGAGTTTAGATAAAAAATAAATACTTGCAATTCATGTCTAAATTAAAACAAACTATTATCGAGCCATAGAACACATGGCTCTTCCGCTGTACTCTTCGATCTATCGATCTCCCATCACTAAATCAACCACCGTTGTTTCCGCCTCCGCCTCTATATTAATTACATCGTACAATCCAACTTTTTGTCCTAGGAACTAATAAAAACAATTGCTATCCCCTTCATTGACTAGACGACGAATCTTCATAGTTATTGATGTACAATGAAACACAACTACTCAAATTGGTGAAGACTAAAGTGGCAAAGGGCTAGGACAAGAAAGAGATAGAAACTAACCGGTTGTGTCGCCAGCGAGTGGCGACACGCAATGACGAATCCGACGGGCGCTGCCGCCTTGGAGGCTTGGAGTCTTGTAGCAGCTATAGATTCTTCGCTGGAAGGGGGAAGACTGGCGGCAACGGTTGCGAAGCCTTGTAGCAGCTGCGGATTCTTTGCTAGAGCCTGGATGGCCTGCCTCGCGACGCCGGCGACAAGCGATGACGAGTAAGGAGGGTGGTGGCGGGCCTTCCTCGTTGGAGTGCTGGAGATAGGAGACAACGATTAGGGATTTTGGAAGAGTTTGGCAGCCTCAGCCCAATATCCACCCTATTCCCTTTCTTTTTTGGTCAGAAGTGCTCAAAACGACGTCATTTTGGTTGGGTGGAGGCAGTTTTCTCCTTTGCTTGAAATCAGATAACATCGGTCTAAAACTCGATTTTATACGATTTCACCGATTTTAACGATTCTACTAACGCTTTTGACAAATTTTGAGTGCAAAACAATTTTATTAGTGATTTGAAACTTTTTCCTACCATAGAAACGTAAAATCGTACGATTTTACGCTTTAAAACGCTATTTTGATTGCACTGGCAGCAGGGAGATAGGGTGGATGGGAAAGGGAGATGTGCGACGGGGAAGAAAGGGAGGTGGAGTTTGTGGTTTAGGGTTTTTTAGGAAAGTATTTATATTAAATGTAAATTACATTATAGCACTCATAACGAAAAGTACATGTCAATCATCAAATTTTTATTTATTACACTATATATGCATACATTTTCGAAATGTGTAGTGTTATAATATTTTTATTTATTACGTACCGGGTTTTTAACGGTTTTTAACAGTTCAATGTCGGTTGGACCACTAAAAAGAGAGTCGTTCATGTTATCGGGTCATGCTCCGGTTCGGTTCTAAAAACATTGCTCATTTCTCTGTTCTTCATTGATTAGGTGATGACATGAAGAGAAAACACATATTAATTAGTCAAATTCCTATTACATGTGGCAAAAACTCAAATAGGATGACCTTAGTGGACGAGATAGGGTGATGCTATAGATGAGTCATTGATGCATGATATTATTGAACTTTAGTATGTGTGATGATGCTCGAGTATACAGTCTTACTCAATAACATATTTTTTACTTTTATGCATCTATAACTTGACAAACCCCTAAACAACTTTTCTTTCCCTT